ACAGCCAGAGTAGTAAGCTAATGAGGAAAAGGTGGGAGGTAAATTTGTAAGGCAATAGGGCCATGATGGTGAACCTATGGCATGCATGCCAGAGGTGGCACACAGAGTCATCTTTCCGGGCACATGAGCTGTCGCACAACTCACCTCCAGCTGTGCATGTGCGCGCGCCCCAGCTGGTGTTTGGGCCTCTGGTGGGCATACATGCAATTCAGGGGACCCAGCTGGTCTTCGGAGCTCTCCCGCAAGTGTGTGTGCGCACCGCATAGACAGCACGCGGCCCCGTTGTGAACCAGTAGTAATGGTAAGTTGGTCCCTGGTCATCATAGGTGATCTGCGCATATGCAGGAGAGCGCGGACGGGCGCAATGCAAACCGGTAGTAAAGGTAAGTAGAACCCACCCCTGAGTCATAGCTCTCTTTTTTCACTGCTGTTATAACTTCTAATGGCCAGTAAACAAATGGTTGTAAGTCAAAGACTACCTGTACAGTGACTGTGTTTTTTTGAGGGGAAAATAAAGGGCAAAGCTGAAAGAGGTTTCTTAAGGATAACAAAACATTCATTGTTTATGTTGATAACTTTACTTGACAAAGGAAGATTCAAAAGCAAAGCCAAAACAATCAATCCATGAATTGAAAGGTCCCCTTTCTGAAATAACAAATGGTCCTTTATAATATAAAGGATATATGATCACTGTATTTATGGTAGAGATTTACGTTGGCTGAAATCCAGTCATCATAATGCTATCCGCTGCGGAGATAATATGTGCATACAGCTTTTTAAATTTCATTTTTAATGCATTAAGAGTCTAGAAAGTTAGTACCCATCTTTCTCCTAGAAGAATGAAATATTCTAAGAAATATTAAAAAGGCAGAATATTATACTTCCCTGGATGAGAAAAAGAGATACATACTCTTGGAAAGCAGCCCCCACCTTTGTTAATAGCCCCAGGAAGACTGGGCCATCCTATCTACAAGACAAAAGGCTGGCCCAGCTTATCTACAACACAAAAGACCTTCACCCTCAGGACATAATAGGATTAGCCCTCTACCCATCTCACCCCATGGCACCTGGGAAGATTACATCACCGAGCAAGATTCAACTAAGCTTGGGAGTCAAGACAACTTACAAAGTTACCCCTGCATGGCCCATGGGAGTCTGACAACCAATTAGAATACATTTCTTTCACAGGAACAGGAAGCAAGTTCAAAGCCCAAGAGAGGGTATAAATATATCTCACTCTCCCAGGGCCGGATTTAGATGAAAAGAGGCCCTAGGCTATTCCACTTATGAGGCCTTTTCACCTATAGTGAAAGTGTAATTTTAATTTTGCTAACAATTTGAATGTAGGCCCCTCTTGATCTTGAAGCCCTAGGCTGAAGCCTAGTTAGCCTATAGGAAAATCCGGCCCTGCACTCTCCACTCCATGTGGTCAGCTACCCATGTGGTCCTGTCCACCATTAAACCATCTTTCCAATCAGCCTCCATGTTTCCAGTGTCTTTCTTCCCACTTGGAACTGAACCCAGATGGACATTTCTTCCAACACCAGAATAACAGAATACTAGAGTTGGAAGGGACTTTGAAGGCCTTCTAGTCCAACCCACTGCTCAGGCAGGAAGCCCCATACCATTTCAGACAACTGGCTATCCCCTCGTCCAAATCATTAATGAAAATGTTGAAGAGCACTGGGTCTAAAACAGAGCCTTGGAGTTTCCCACTGCATACTTTCCTCCATGTAGATGCAGTTCCATTGAGGACATTTTTTCTATTTTATCAAGTATTAGCAGGGATGAAATGCTCCCGGTTCAGACTAGATCGCCCGATCCGGTAGCGATGGAGGCGGGTGGTTTGGAGAACCAGTAGCAAAAATCCCTGCCCCCCCCCATGCCCAGCTGAGCCACGCGATCATCAGAGGCTTTTTTTCTTTTAAATGGTGCTGACGATGCAAGCTGAATTGCCTGATCATCAGAGGATTTTTTAAAAACCCTCTGCCAATCAAGGCAACTCAGCTTGGTTTGTCAGAGGCATTTAAAAGAAAAACACTTTTTTTCTTTTAAATGCCTCTCTCGATCCCAGCTCTGATGATCCCAGCTGAGTTGCCTGATCGGCAATCAGGCAACTCAACTGGGATCGTCAGAGCTATTTAAAAGAAAAAAAGTTTTTTTTTCTTTTAAATGCCTCTGACGATCCAAGCTCTGATGATCCCAGCTGAGTTGCCTGATCAGCAGAGGGTTTTTAAAAAACTCTCTGTCGATCAGGCAACTCAGCCGGGATCGTCAGACCTTTTGAAAGCATTTTTTTACAACCTCTACACCGAAGAGGTTGTAGAAAAAATGGTTTTAAAAGTAAAAAAAAAAATGGCCACGCCCACCCAGTCACATTACCCACCCACCCCACCAAGCCATGGCCACAGAACCGGTAGTAACAAATTTTAGATTTCACCACTGAGTAGTAGGTTATGGTCTACTTTATCAAATGCCTTACTGAAGTCCAAGTAAATTATATAATTGGGTCAAAGAAACGTCTACAAGAAAACCACTCAGCTCAGAGAGCACCAAGGACACCTCGGTTATGTAAATGTTCTACAAATGTTCATTATTTCTGCCTTGAATTCAGATAGAAGATTCCTGTCTTCTGAAGTGGTCCTGGATAGCAGTACAAAGTTTGATTTATTTAAGAAGGAAAACAATTTATTTCCAATGAATGCTTTCACGTATGTTATTCAACTGCCCGGCTCGAGAACCAGCAACAGTGATGGAAAAAAAGCACTGTTTGACAGAGATTAGAAATGCTAAATTTAGGTGTATTATCAGATCTGCTCTTCAAGTTCTTGCTTGCCTAACCTGGAACAAAGGCCTCTTTTTAACATGATCAAATGCCAAAAAAATTGTACTGCGACGACACACTGATTAATGAAAGACGAAATGTTTGTTGTAAAGGGAAAAAATAAAAACTTTTACAAAAAAAAAAACCCATGCTCAAATGCCAAATAAAGGTCTTTATCCATTGTGTAGAATATCATAGCATTGCAGAAATCTGCTCCAAGTATTTTTTTAATATAAAGGCCACATTGCAAACAAATTTCTGTTGTCAAGAGAGACAGTTGTTCTGTGAATTTTGACCCTATTTTATGTCCTTTCTTGCCAAAGTTAAGGGAATTACTGCTGTTGCTAAGTTAGTAACATGTTTGTAAGTGAAACCGGCTTCCCTATTGACATTGCTTGTCAAAAGATCGCAAAAACATGACTCCGGGACAGCGCAATGGTCATAAATGTGTGTCAATTGCCAAGCGTCTCAATTTTGATCACCTGACCACGGGACACTGCAATGGTTGTAAATGTGAAAAACAGTCGTAAGTCGCTTTTTCAGTGCTGTTGTAGGTTGGAATGATCACTAATGTTTGAGGAGTTCCTGTATTAATTTCAAACTTATGATGATTCGGTTTACATATCTCTCCCAGCTTGGCCCTTTCAAAGAAACTCCATTGAACAAAAGTTTTAATTGCTTTGAGAATCTGAGAAAAATTGACCACTCAGAAGAATCAAATGAAGGATCGGATAATTCTGTTAAAACGGTTCTTGGTGTAAATGCAAGTATTTACAATATTTCAGTTGAATCCCTGATTTATAATGGTAGTGTGATATAAAGAAAGTAGCTCCATGAAACCATAAGCTCCTAAGAACATCTAACCCAGTCCTCAATATATAGGAAAAATCTTTCACATATAGCTATCCAGTCTCTTCAGAATCTTCAGAACTCCCTGTAAGTATGACCATGATTACCCCCCCCCCCTTTATATTTAAGTGAAACCTAAATAGCCAAGAACTTTTGTTATTGCTATTATTTTTAAGATTTCAAAACATGAAATGTCTCCAAGGCGCACAGACTTCTGAATGGTTTGGGGTTTAAAAGAAAAGAGGGAGGGAGGGAAGCAGGGAGGGAGGGAGGAAGGAAAGAAAAAATTACAGGAAGGAAAGAAAAACATAAAATTAGAGGATGGAGGGAAGGAGGGGAAGGAAAGAAGGAGAACAAGGGGAGAAGGAAATGAGAGGGAGGGAGGAAGCCGAGAGGGAGGAAAGAAAAAGAAAAAGGAACAGGAAGGAAGGAAGGAAGGAAAACAAAATTAGAGGATGGATGGAAGGATGGAAGGAAGGAAGGAGAAGGAGGGGAGAAGGAAATGAGAGGGAGGAAGGGAGGAAGCCAAGAGGGAGGGAGGAAAGTAAAAGGAACAGGAAGGAAGGAAAACAATTAGAGGATGGATGGAAGGATAGAAGGAAGGAAGGAAGGAGAAGGAGTGGAGAGGGAAATGAGAGGGAGGGAGGAAGCCGGGAGGGAGGGAGGAAAGTAAAAGGAACAGGAAGGAAGGAAAACAATTAGAGGATGGATGGATGGATGGATGGGTGTTACGTGAATTTCGTTGTATGGGTATATACTGTGTATACTGTGTACAATGACAATAAACAGTAAACTTTGATTAGGGAGGAAGAAAGAAAAAATATAACAGAGGAAGGAAGGAGAAGAAGGTCTACATCACTATTTTCTAATCCTGACAAGCTAGGGAATTCTGGGAGTTGAAGTCCACCCTTCTTGAAGCAGCCAAGGTTGAGAAACACTGGTGTAAATATATAGCACAGAGGTCTTCAAACTTGGCAGCTTTAAGACTTGTGGACTTCAACTCCCAGAATTCTCCAGCCAGCTATGCTGGTGTTGAAGTCCACAAGTCTTAAAGCTGCCAAGTTTGAAGACTTCTGATATAACAATTAACAAGAGGGAAACGTGCCTGCGAGCTTTAAATTTCCTGGCCAAAAAAAAAAGCAATTTTCATCTCTCGAGTAAATATCCTTCCCAATCTTTGGCACTTCGGTAGGTATCTATGTGGGTATCTATCTATGGTGCTCTCCCTTAAGATTTATCAAGGCTTGCGACTCTCTCTCTCGCCTCTCTATGGTACCCTCAGCCTCTCCGGCCGCAGACGTATCTCTGTGACCGGAAGTGGGCGGGGCGGAGGCGTTTGTTGTGATAGCAGCCTCTTCCGACGCGGCGGCGAGGCCAGAAGCGAGAGAGGGCGAGGTGGGAGCGGCGTTGCGGGAAGGGCTGACGCCTTTTTTTTTTCCTCCCTTCTCCTGGCTGGAACCGGGAGTCTCGCCCCCCCCCCCGGGTTCAAGCGGGTGGGGAGCCGGAGGGGCTCGCAGAACGCCCGTGTTGTAGCCTTGCCTCGCCCGGTTGCAGGGAGGGCAGTTTGGGACCTCCGCCACCCTGTACCTGGCTGCAGCCCAGTGCGCATGCGCGGCTGAGCTTGTGCCTAGGTGCAAGTGAGCCCCAACAGCAAAACGTGGGAGAAAGTGCGCATGCGCGGCCTAGCTTGGCCCTGGGACAAGGGTGGGCAAATGTGGCTCTTTTTACAACCTGTGGACTTCAACTCCCAGAATTCCTGAGACAGCTTGGCTGTCTCAGGAATTCTGGGAATTGAAGTCCACAGGTTGTAAAAGAGCCACATTTGGCCTGGGTGCAAGTAAGAGCCCCCCGCCCCCCCCCCGTAGCAAAACTTGGCAGAAAGTGCCCCTCCCCCCTCCAGAAGGGCTGGTCTGCCAATCAGAGAAGTCCTCAGAGTGCGACTACAAAAGTAGTTTGTTCCAAGATTATTAATAATAAAAAAATTGTGTTAATGGTATTCATAAAAAAAAAAAAACATTGGAATTGGCTTGTATTGTTGATGCGGGGTGGTGGTGGGGGTGTTTTTTTTAAAAAATAGGTGTTTATTATATGGTGGGGCTTTTAAAAATGATGTCAAAAAGGAGCCTGGATAGCTCAACAGACTAATGCATTGTAATTTAACTCCAGCTGTCTGCAATTAGTAAGTTCGAATCTCTCCAAGGCTCAAGGTTGACTCAGCCTTCCATCCTTTCTAAGGTAGGTAAATTGAGGACCCAGTTTGTGGGGGCAATAAGCTGACTTTGTATAAAATATACAAAAGGATGAAGGCTATTGCTTAACGCATTGTAAGCCGCCCTGAGTCTCCGGAGAAGGGCGGCATATAAATCAAATTTAAAAAAACAAAAAAATGCCTCCCCTCAGTCACCAAATAATGTATTTATATATTTAAATAAATAATAAATAATTAAAATAAAATAAATAAAATAAAATAAAATAAATAAATAAAATAATAAAATAAAATAAATATATATATGGATTGGAATATTCCAACCCAAATTATTTATTTATTAAACAAATGAGGTAGTCCTTAACAATAGTTGATTGACCCTTCGAAGTTATAGCAGCACTGGAAAAAAAATTAATTACGTTGGTTTTCTTCCACTTAACAACTGTCATCTGATCAAACTCTCCAAGGTTGCTTTAACTGTAAAGTGACTCATGTTTATGACGGTCGCAATGTCCCCAGGGTCACTTGATCCCTCTCTGGCAACCTTCTAACCAGCAAAAGTCAAGTGGGAAGCCAGATTCGCTTAATGACCATCTGACTAACTTTTAATAACAGCTTAAGGCGAGAAAGGCCGTAAAATGGGGCAGATCTCAAATCATTGGTTGGTTTAGAAACAGAAGTTTTGGGGGTTTTCTTTTTGATCATAAGTTGAGGACTTACCTGTAAATAAGAAGAAGAAATAATAAATAATTTTGAGACATTTCAGGATCCTAGGAGGAGGCTGAATAGGAGTTGATGCAACCGTCTGAATGGAGGTCATTGCAGGTCAGGGAGAGAAGACAACATTTGTAGTGATAGGGCTGGAACTTTGGACAACCTGGTGTACTCATCATTATTTTTTTAACTTGTAAGATTAGATAAAAGGCAGCTATTCTGCTTGATATGCTTTGAGGCTTGAAATCAAAATGGTATGTTTTCTTTATGGGTCTTTAATTCCTTTTTAAAAAAAATTACGGCGATGTTACAATTACTTAACTGTATATGCTTATTTAGTCGTTTAATTTATTCACCAACTTTATTATTTTTATAAACAATTCAAAGCAGCCAACATACCCCTTACTTCTCCCTCCTTTGATTTTCCCCACAACAACAACCCTGTGAAGAGTGCTGGGCTGAGAATGACCTGCGGATACCCCAAGAAAGTTTAGCTTCCAAAATACAGATGGACCTCAACTTACAACAATTCATTTAGTGACTGTTCAAATGGCACTGGAAAAAGATAATCTATGACCGTTTTTCACACGGCCGTGGGGAAGCCAGATTCACTTAACAACTGTGGCAAGAAAGGTCGTAAAATGGGGCAAAATTCACTTAACAAATTTCTCACTTAGCTAAATAAATTTTGGGCCCACTTACGGTCGGTCGTAAGCCGAGGACAACTTGTACACCCACAGTATGAGGTTCAACTTATCTGTGGATAGGCTTATCTGCAGATATACGGGTAGTCCTCGATTTAACAACCCATTCATTTAGTGACCAAAGTTAGAACAGCACTGAAAAAGTTGACGTTATGATAATTTTTCACACTTAATGACCCTTGCAGCATCTCTGCAGTCACAGGATCAAAATTTGGATGCTTGGCCTCTGGCTGATATTTATGATGGTTGCAGTATCCCGGGGTCATGTGACCACATTCTGGTCCCAATTTTGGGTGTAAGTCAAGGACTATATTGAGCAGAGAGTTAAACCTGGTCACTATATGACTGCCTACTTCCTCTACAATTCAACAACTTCTGAGTTGTGACTCTCTCCAGAGAGCCTGGCTTAGGAACGCATCGCTCCAGCACCAAACAAAGGGTTTTTTTTCCCCCTTAATGTCAATTTTTAAAATCGTCGTGTTCCATCTTCGTTTCAAGGTGTTTTTCTGCATTTATATTGGTGGCTTCTCTTTGTAAGCCTTCACAATAATCCTTGGCAGTCGAGGCTCAATATTTCTACGGCTAAGCAAGACCGTTGTTCAGCAAGTTTTCGCTCATTTTACGGTCTTTTTCTGCCACCGTCGTTAAATTGAATCGCTGCAGTTGTTAAGTTACCAACACGGTTGTTAAGCGAATCTGGCTTCCCCATTGGCTTTGCTCGTCAGAAGGTCGCAAAGGTCCCACGACCCCTGGGGCACTGCCACCGTTACAAATACGAGTCAGTTGCCACGACTCCGTATTTCGATCACGTACCCGCAGGGATGCCGCAACGGTCTTAAGTGTGAAAACCGGTTGTAAGTCAATTTTTCAGTATAACTTTGAATCGTCAGTAAATGAACAGCTGTAACTCTCTAAAACACGGGGGTCAAAATCAATTTCATTGAGTGCCGCATCAGGGTTGTGTTTGACTTTGGGGGGGGGATGACGGTGGTATGGCTGGGGTGGTGGTGGCCTGCTCGACGTCGCTCGTGTCGGGGGCGCCTGTGGAGGCCCAAGTCCTTTGCCCGCGAAAACAGGCTCCTGAACTCCGTTTTCGGCTGCGACCGCCTCCTGCAACCCTCTGCCAGCGAAAACTGAGCTTGGGAGGGCCCTCCTGAGCTCCGTTTCCACTGGCAGAGGCACTGAGGGCCAGTTCTTTCCAGGTCGGCCCCGCTAGCCAGATCTAAGTTCCCCGCGGGCCAGATCCCTGGCCTTGAGTTTGACACTCCTGCTCTAAACCAATCATCGTAAATGGAGGACCACCTGTATTTATTTTGATCTGTATCAACGGGTTGAAGAGCAACACGGACCCGGATTGTCTCAAATTCCTTTTTTCCAGGATGTCCCCATGAGTTCTCCCGCGGAGGATGTCCATGATCCTTTTCACATGCGTGGTGCGGATAAAGGACGGACTTCACCTCTCGGCCTCCAGTGACTTCCACCTAGACCCTCATTTTTTGGAATGCAGGAAGAGACTCAACATCCTGTCCTCCGTCCTGACACAATATCCAGAACGGGGCACGGCCAAAGAACGTGATCTCAGTATACAGTAAGCCATGCTTTATTATACAGTCCGGTTTTATTCATTCGTTATATTGTTTTGTGTGTCGCTTCGGTCATTCATTCTGATTGACTTAACGAAAGAGTGAATAAATACAGGTAGTCCTCAGCTTACGGCCACAACTGAGATGGATTTTTTTATATATATAATTTTTTAAAATTAATTTTAGAATAACACAACACAACATTCAAAACACAAACACACAATATGTGTTTCTTTTCACATATCAGTTTCGTTCCTCTTACTTTCTATTTTCTACATTTTCCCATTTTTCTCATCCTTTATTATCTTTATCGTCCCTTTGTTCCCAGTTTTATTCATTTACAGTATTTTACACATTTGTCACTTCATTTATTCACTTTTACTTTCCCTAATCTTGAGCCAATCGTACCACTTAGTCCATACTTGATAATAATCTGTGTGAGACAAAAATTAATGTGGCTGTGAAACGCTTGCTAATTGGCTTGAGCCTTGATAGTACAGTGGTTTAAGGCACCCTGTTATTAAGCTGGTTATTAAGACCAGATGCCTGCAATTACTGCAGGTTCGAATTTCGCCAAGGCTCAAGGTTGACTCAGCCTTCCATCCTTTCTAAGGTAGGTAAATTGAGGACCCAGTTTGTGGGGGCAATAAGCTGACTTTGTATAAATATACAAAAAGATGAAGGCTATTGCTGAGCACATTGTAAGCCGCCCTGAGTCTCTGGAGAAGGGCGGCATATAAATCAAATTTAAAAAAAAAATAAAAAATAAAAATAAAAAAAAATTGAGCTTCGCCCCCATTTTACAACCTTTTTCTTTTTTTGGCCACAGTTTGTTAAGTGAATCGTTGCAGTTGTTAAATTAGTAAGACAGTTGTTAAGTGAATCTGGGCATAGCCTGTTGTCTTTGCTTGTCTTTGCAAAGGGGATCATGTGACCTTGGGACATTGCGACCATCATAAATAGGAAGCACTTGTCAAGCGTGTGAATTTTGATTGCGTGACCATGGGGAGGCTGCAACGGTCGTAAGTGTGAAAAATGGTCCTAAGTCACTTTTTTCAGTGCTGTTGTAACTTTGAATGGTCACTAAATGAACTGTTGTAAGTCGAGGACTACCTGTACACACAATCCAGTGCCGTGGTGGCTCAGTGGTTAGAATGCAGCACTCCAGGGCTAACTCACTGCCCACCGCCAGCAGTTCGATCCTGACCGGCTCAAGGTTGACTCAGCCTTCCATCCTTCCAAGGTGGGTAAAATGAGGAGCCAGATTGTTGGGGGCAAGAGATTGACTCTGTAAACCTCTTAGAAGTGGGCTGTAAAAGCACTATGAAGCGGTATGTAAGTCTTAAGTGCTATTGTCCTCCCAGTGGTTAGAATGCAGTATTGCAGGCTGACTCGCCAATTTTCTGGAGTTCGATCCTGACCAGCTCAAGGTTGACTCAGCCTTCCATCCTTCCGAGGTGGGTAAAATGAGGAGCCAGATTGTTGGGGGCAGGAGATTGACTCTGTAAACCTCTTAGAAGTGGGCTGTAAAAGCACTATGAAGCGGTATATAAGTCTAAGGGCTAGTGCTATTGCTCAGAAAGTTACCAATTCATCAAGCAATAAAAATTCATCTCCTTCAACTCGCTCCTATCTTTGATGTATTCAACTGCGGAGCTCCTTGCACTGCGAGATTCCCCCCTCTCGCATGTCTGGCCCTCTCAGTTATCAAGGGCCGCCCTTGAGGACGGGTTTTGGAACCCTGAGAGGTGGTTTGCAAAAAAACGACGGCTTTGGGGGTTTTTAGATAACTCTTTTAAGTTCTATTTGAAGGGGTTCTGGGAGGGATTGTGGGAATGGATCTGGGGGGATCCATAAATCCACTGAAAGGGGAAATGGGTCTGATAATCATGGTGGGAGGATGGGGACAGAAATCTGACAAGGATGCAGGGGGATGAAGCGATGGCCATTAGTATAGTAAGTGGGAGGGGCAGATATGACAGCTGCAGGGGGCCATATTATGTTTCGGGAGTGCGCACTCGTTGTTTACGAGCGATTGCCCACTCCGACCCCCAAAGCACTGCTCGTTTCCCGGGTTGTTCAGAGTCTCAGACCCTGGGTCTACGGCTGAAGTTATGTAATGCCAGGTCAGTGGTAAATAAAGCCCCCCTCATTCATGATCTTATTTCAGAGGGGGGTGCTGACCTGGCAGGGATTACGGAGACCTGGTTAGGCCAGGAGGGAGGAGTTCCCCTTGTGGAAATGTGCCCGCCAGGTTTCCGTGCATTCCATCAGCCAAGGACTCAGGGAAGGGGTGGGGGAGTGGCAGCAATCATTAGAGAAAGTCTTTGCCCGAGGGAGGCCACTGTTCCTCAGATAGCCGGATGTGAGTCCCTCCTTGTGAAGTGGGGTCAGGGGATTCAGATGGGCCTACTGATTGCGTACCTGGCTCCCTGCCACGTAACAGCGGTCCTGCCTGAGCTGCTCAACATTATAGCCGGGGTGGCGGTGGAAACCCCCAGACTTATTGTTATGGGGGATTTTAACCTGCCATCCGCTGGTGAGATGTCAGAGATAGCTCAGGAGTTCATGGCTTCCATGACGGCCATGGACCTGACCCAGGTAGTTCAAGGCCCCACCCACTTGGGGAATCACACTCTGGACTTGATTTTTGTCTCTGATCAGTGGCTGAATGATCTAAGAATAGGGGATATAGACATCAAGCCCTTGTCATGGTCTGATCATTCTCTCCTTCACATGGACTTTCAAGTCACTTCCACCCACTGCAGGGAGACGGAACCAACCAAATGGTTCCGTCCCAGGCGCCTGATGGACCCCGAAAGGTTCTTGATGGAGCTTGGGCCATTTCCTGAGACTCTGGCTCACAACTCGACTGAGGACCTGGTGGTCGCCTGGGACAGGGCGGCTACTGGGGCCTTGGACCGCGTTGTGCCTTTGCGGCCTCTGACCCGATGCCGATCTCGTCTAGCTCCTTGGTTTTCCGAGGAGCTGAGAGAGATGAAGCATCGGAAAAGACGCCTGAAGAGCGATTGGAGGACAAGCCGATCTGAATCTGACCGAACACAGGTGAGATCTTATATTAAGATCTACCTAGTGGCGATAAGAGCGGCGAAGTCTAGCTACTTCTCCGCTCTTATTGCATCTGCAGAGAACTGCCCAGCTGCGCTGTTTAGGGTGATCCACTCCCTACTTCAGTTGGAGGTACGGGAAGATCCCTTAAAGGGTCGAGCTGAGGATTTTGTACAATTCCTGCATGATAAAGTCGCTCAGATTCGGGAAGGCCTGGACTCCGATTGGATAGATCCAGGGGAGGAGACGGGGGCAGGTCTTGAGAGCGTTATCTGGGAAGAGTTTGACTCTGTGGCTCCTGAGGACGTGGACAGGATTATGGGCAAGCTTAACGCTGCCACATGTTTATTGGACCCGTGTCCCTCCTGGTTGGTACTGGCCTCCCGGGAGGTTACACGAGGCTGGCTCCAGGGGATTATAAATGCTTCTCTGAGTGAGGGTGTCTTTCCCGCCGCCTTGAAAGAGGCGGTTGTGAAGCCCCTCCTCAAGAAGCCTTCCCTGGACCCGGCTATATTATCAAATTATCGTCCAGTCTCCAATCTTTGCTTTGTTGCGAAGGTTGTTGAGAGTGTGGTGGCGTGACAACTACCCCGATACCTGGATGAAGTTGTCTATCTGGATCCGTTCCAGTCGGGCTTCAGGTCACGATACAGCACGGAAACGGCATTGGTCGCATTGGTGGATGATCTCTGGAGGGCTTGGGACAGAGGTTGCTCGTCTATCCTGGTCCTATTAGATCTCTCAGTGGCTTTTGATACCATCGACCATGGTATCTTACTGCACCGGCTGGAGGGGTTAGGAATAGGGGGCACCATGCTTCGGTGGTTCTCCTCCTTCCTCTCTGACCGTTCGCAGTTTGTGTTGGCAGGGGAGCAGAGGTCGACCTCGAGGCACCTTATTTGTGGGGTGCCGCAAGGGTCAGTGGGGTGCCGCAATGGGGCTCCCCTTGAAAAGCACCCGGAGGCTCCAACTGGTCCAGAACGTAGCCGTGCGGGGTGATTATGGGCGCAGCTCGTTACGCCCATGTAACACCTCTCCTACGCGAGCTGCACTGGCTCCCGGTGGTCTTCCGGGTGCGATTCAAGGTGTTATTTATCACCTTTAAAGCGCTCCATGGCTTAGGACCTGGGTACCTACGAGACCGTCTTTTGCCACCAATAGCCTCCCACCGACCAGTTCGTTCTCACAGGGAGGGACTACTCAGGGTACCGTCAGTCAAATTATGTCGACTGGCGACTCCCAGGGGGAGGGCCTTCTCTGTGGGGGCTCCAACCCTTTGGAATGAACTGCCCCCGGAAATACGGAATATCCCTGATCTCCGTGCTTTCCACCGTGCCCTCAAGACCCTGATGTTCCAACAGGCGGGGCTAAACATACAAACATGTGAATGATTTTTTAAATGTTATCTAATTCTGGGTTTTATTTGATCGACCAAACTAAGTAATAATTTTAATTAGCAATTTTATGATGTTTGTGTGTCTATATTTTTCTTGACTGTACACCGCCTTGAGTCCTACGGGAGAAAGGCGGTATAGAAATATAATAAATAAATAAATAAATAAATAAATAAATAAATAAATAAATAAATACACATTCTGCAGATATAATCATAAAACCATTGCACCATCTAGCATCGGAAAATAGAAATTCATCTATTACAAGGAGTTCTTGACTTAACAGACACAACTGAGCCCAACATTTATTTATGTCGTTAAATGAGACATTGGTTTAGGTTTAGGTTTAGGTTTATTTGATTTGTATACCGCCCTACTCCCGAAGGACTCAGGGCGGTGAACAGCCAACAATAAAATACATAAATACACAAAATTTAAAAACCCGATAAAATCAAATTAAATTATTTGGCCCAGACAAATTAAAATGCCCCAATAATTTAAAAACAGATTAAAATTTACGTATTTAAAAAGGGAAGAGATCAGGCCAAGCCCGCTTGATGGAATAAAAAGGTTTTCACAGCACGGCGGAAGGAACGCAGATCCGGGATCCTCCGTATCTCCGGGGGGAGCTCGTTCCAGATAGTAGGTGCCCCCACAGAGAAGGCTCTCCCCCTGGGGGCCGCCAGTCGACACTGTTTGGCTGACGGCACCCGGAGGAGTCCCTCTCTATGAGAGCGTACTGGCCGGTGGGAGGCTATTGGTGGTAGTAGGCGGTCCCGTAAATAACCAGGCCCTAAGCCATGGAGCGCTTTAAAGGTGGTAACCAAAACCTTGAAGCGCACCCGGAAGACCACCGGGAGCCAGTGCAGCTCGCGCAGGAGAGGTGTTACATGGGAGCGCCATGACGCTCCCATTACCACCCGCGCGGCCGCACTCTGCGCCAGTTGGAGCCTCCGGGTGCTCCTCAAGGGGAGCCCCATGTAGAGAGCATTACAATAGTCCAGGCGGGAGGTGACGAGGCTATGAGTGACCATGCGTTAAGTGAGTTTGTCCCATTTCACGACTTCTCTTGCCACTTTCGTTAAGCGAATCGCTGAAGTTGTTAAAGTTAGTAACACAGTTTATTAAGTCAATCCGGCTTCGCCATTGACCTTCCTTGTTCGTCAGAAGGTCGCAAAAAAGATGATCGCGTGACTTCTGGACACTGCCACTGTTCATAAATAGGAACCAAATGTCAAAAGAGCCCGAATTTTGGTCATGTGACCCTGGGGGGATGTTGCGACGGTCATTAGTGTGGAAAACGGTCATAAGTCACTTTTTTCAGTGCCATTGTAAGTCTGAACAGTCACTAAACAAACTGTTGTTAGTTGAGGATTTCCTGTACATTGGAGTCCCCAAATTATAGCCACAATTGAACCCCAAATTTATGTTGCTGTATCAGCCTCTTACCTGTAGACAGGTGAGGATTTTCCATAGGATCTCCCCTGCTATGAAACATCTTCCTTTATTTACACACACACAGAAAAATCCGTCCTTTCCTTGTGGTCCCCCATTGTACTCCCTGAGGTTAATCCTAGCTCTTTTCTTTCTCAGCTTCCACACCTCTGGAGGTGTCTCCTGTACCTGCATTGCCGTCAGCAGTTATCCAGCAGTGATGGCTTTTTGTTTTCTGGAAGAGATCCGGTCTAAATTTGCCATGTCCTACAATGCCACCTGTGTCAGCCTGGCTTCCAGGCCGTACGCTTTCCTTGAATTCGGTACGTTGTTGATTTGCCTTTGTGTCTTTCTCTTCTGGGGATGTGGGGCGGAGGGAATTTAGCGTGTCATTGCCGTGAGGTGCTTGGTGCTCCCTTACCTTGGTTGTTTTCTTGCAGACGTTTCATAGAATCACGTCTGGCCCTGATGATGTTAGCTAGTTGGGTCGTGAAATGTCTGTAAGAAGGCAACCAGGCTCAGAGAGCACCAAAGATCCTACAGTTGTCATTGTCCTCCTCTTCCTCCTCCCCCCCCTCCTCCTCCTCCTCCTCCTCCTCCTCTGACCCCCTCCTCCTCTAGCACCGATGATATTACCTACTTGGCTCATCAAATGTCTGCAAGAAGGCAACCAAACTCCACACTAAGGACTAAACACAGATAAGCATGGATTAATACCAGACAAACAATCAAGCACAAAACAATACTTTCATTTATTATTTATTTTTATTATTTTATTGGTTCGATTTATATGCCGCCCTTCTCCAGAGACTCAGGGTGGCTTACAATGCGTTAAGCAACAGCCTTCATACTTTTGTATATACCTGCTTAGTAGGGCTTTTGGGCCCCCACCAAGCGGTGTCCTTTTTTATACAAAGTCAGCTTATTGCCCCCCACAATCCGGGTCCTCATTTTACCTACCTCGGAAGGATGGAAGGCTGAGTCAACCTTGAGCCTGGTGAGATTTGAACTCGCAGTAATTGCAGGCAGCTGGCAGCTAAGTGCTACTTAACAGCACTTTAGTCCGCTGCACCACCAAGGCTCCTTCATCAAGGGATTACCAAGGAGGAAACCACACCTACGCCAACATTGGCAGGGAAAGTTACTGTATATAAACGGAGAAAAGTCCAAACTGCCTCACACCGATGATGTTACCTAGCTGGGTCATGAAACATCTGCAAGAAAACAATCAAATTCAGAGAGCACCGAGGATCCCCCAGTCCTTTCCTCCTCCTCCCCCAGTTGTTGTCCTCCTCCTCCTCCTGTCTTCAATCTCCCCTTCCTTCTAGCACTGATGATGTTACCTAGTTTGGTCATGAAACACCTGCAAGAAAATCACCAAGCTCAGGGAGCACCCAAGACTCCACAGTTCTCCTCCTCCTCCCCCCCCCACTCTTTTCCTCCACTCTGCAAACCCCACCCCTTTCTAACACTGATGATGTTACCTAGTTGGGTCATTGAAATGTCTGCAAGAAAACCCACCCAGCCCGGAGAGACCCAAAGACCACAGAGTTCCTCTCTGAGCTACAGATACTTTTAGTTTTAGCAATTAGTCACTGCTAATATATAAGAGCCTTGGTGGCGCAGCAGACTAAAGCACTGTTAAGTAGCACCAGCTGTCTGCAATTACTGTAAGTTCAAATCTCACCAGGCTCAAGATTGACTTAGTCTTCCATCCTTCCGAGGTAAGTAAAATGAGGACCTGAATTGTGGGGGCAATAAGCTGACTTTGTATAAAAAAGAACACCGCTTAGGGGGGGGGCGAAAGCCCTACTAAGAAGGTATATACAAAAGTATGAAGGCTATTGCTTAACGCATTGTAAACCGCCCTGAGTCTCCGGAGAAGGGCGGCATATAATGCGAACCAATAAATGAATGAATGAATCAATGAATGAATCAATCAATGAATGAATGAACGAAGAACCATCAATACTCATATTGCAATAGTCATATGGGAACAACAGTTACGATGGTTGCAGAATGCTGGGATTACGCGACCTCCATTTGCGACCTTCCCAGCCAGCTTCTCGGAAGCAAAGTCAGTGGGGGAGGCTGAATTCACTTAACAACCACGTGATCCACCTCTAACAGCTGCAGTGTTTTGCTTAGGTCAAAGGTCAAAAAGGTTAAAAGAATTGTGTGCAGCTGACCTAATCACCTCCTTGCTTCGCAGTGAAATTTCTGATTTCCAATTTTGGTCCTAAGCCATCAAGTGATGGTCGAGCCTTAAAAGTCGCTTAGATTTTCTCTATGAGGATCTGTCCCTAACCTGATCTTTCAGGTTTTCAGATAGTCCTTGACTTACAACAGTTCGTTTAGTGGCTGTCCGAAATTACGACAGCACTGAAAAATTGACTTGGGACCGTTTTTCACACTTAACGACCGTTGCAGCATCCCACCATGCTCAGGTGATCAAAATTCGGATGCTAGGCCGCTGACTCTAATTTATGACCGTTGCAGTGTCCCCGGAGTCATGCGATCCACTTTTGCGACCTTCTGATAAGCAAAGCCAGATTCACTTAACTATGTTACTAGTTTAACAACTGCAGTGATTGACTCAACAACTGTAGCAAGGACGGTCGTAAACTTGGTCAAAAAAAAACCTCGCTAAACAAATGTCTCCCTTAGCAACGGAAGCATCGGGGCTCCGTTATGGTCGCAAGTCGAGGACTACCTCCAGTCTCCAGATGTGGTTCGACCCTGTAAGATACCAAACTCCTTCGGTGCGCCTTCGCGAAGCACACACCGATATTTTCTTCTTTTTAGAGGAAGCTCTTGTTGTCTCTTTGCCGCAGACCGTGTCATCCAGAAAACCCAAAACCAGTTTAATCACACCAACTGCGCTCAGCCAAAGTGCGACGTGGCCAAGATGCAGGAGGACCTTCGCTTGCGACCCCCGGCCCTCGTCAGCTGGGAAGACATGGAATTGGTCAACGGGATGGTGAACGGCCGGGCGGAAGCCCACCTCGAGACAGGTGAGTTACCTTACATTGCGGGTTGAGTTTTTTCCTTCTCATCCCATCACCGGTTGAGAGCCACAGAGATGGGCATCTTGAAGAAAGTATGCAGAGGCAAAAACCCTGCCTTAATCCCTGATTTAATCTAATTTAACAACTTTGGAACAAAGCTCAGATTAACTCTTTCCTTAACTCACTGGGTTATAATGAAGGGAAATAAAACAGATAGGCTTCCGAAATTCTGTTACTGTAGTCCTCGAATTACAGCTGGTCATTTAGTGACCGAAGTTACAAGAGTACTGAAAAAAAGGGATTTAGAGCTGTTTTTCACAGTTATGACCACTACTGCGTCCCTGAAGTCACATGATTTATATTCGGATGCTTGGCAACTCACTCGTTGCAATGTCCCGGCGTCATCTGGTTCCCTTTTGTGATCTTCTGGCAAGCAGAGTGAATGAGAAAGCAGCTTCACTTAACAACTTTGTTACTAAGAGCCTGAGTAGTGTAGGAGGCTAATGCCTCCTACTAAGGCAGCATTTAACATCCAGATGTCTGCAATTACTGCAAGTTCAATTCTCACCAGGCTCAAGGTTGACTCAGCCTTCCATCCTTTCTAAGGTAGGTAAAATGAGGACCCAGTTTGTGGGGGCAATAAGCTGACTTTGTATAAATATACAAAAGTATGAAGGCTATTGCTTAACGCAGTGTAAGCCACCCTGAGTCTCTGGAGAAGGGCGGCATATAAAAATAAATTTAAAAAAAACAAAAACTAATAGAACAACTGCAGGGATTAACAATTGCAGGAATTAACAACTGCAGGGTTAGCCAAATCAGGAGGAGTATGTTGAGATTAATAGTTAAAATGAAATGAATAAGTTTTTTTAAAATTTGATTTATATGCCGCCCTTCTCCGGAGACTCAGGGCGGCTTACAATGCGTTAAGCAATAGCCTTCATTCTTTTGTATATTTATATTAACAGTTGATGTTAATAACAGTGCTTTAGTCTGCTGCACCACCAGGGTGCAGTTAGGTTTAATAAACCTAACCAAGTTAGGTTTAATAACAGAAATGAAGACTATAAATGTTGAGTTCATTAGTAAAACTAAAATGATTATGTTGGAATTAATTACTTTATGAATGTTTATAATGATTGTGATGATTTATATTGTTAAAATATATCCATCTAAGCAAATGAAAGAGAAAAATGGAATTATAATTGGTTAGGATTTAAGATTTAAGCAATGGGTTTTTGGGGATAATGGCATAGTTAAATAGATAAGGGAAATAACTGAGTAAAATATTAAGTTGTGTTAATTGAAAATTAAGATTTGTTAGTGATTTGTATTAATTTGTGACCGGATCAAAAGCTTTGTTTTGAAAAAATGTGGTTTATGTTTATGTTTTGAAAAAATAATAAAAAACTTAAAAAAAAAAAACAACTGCAGGGATTAATAACTGCGGGAATGATCAGTTTAGGAGCTGCAGTGATTGACTTAACTGGCAAGAAAAGTCGTCACCTTGAGCAAAATTCACTTAATTGTTTTGCTTAGCAATGGAAATTTTGGGTTCAGTTGTGGTCTTAAGTCAAAGATTATCTATCAAAGATAGATAAGATAAACTTTACTGTCATTTTTTTTACTGTGGGCACTCTGGCACACGTTAAAAATGAAATTCTCAAACGTGTACACATACATAACACACATGTAGATATGCTACATACATACATATGTATATACCTACACCCTAACACCGTGATGGTTGTCTGTGGGAACGCCTGCCGTCACCAGCTGGTTATTGAAAAACGGCCCAAAAAATGCCCTGAAAATGGCTCAAAAAACGGCTGGAAAACAGCCCGAAAAATGACCTGAAAACGCCCCCCAAAACAGCCTGAAAATGGCCAAAAAAATAGCCAGAAAAACTGGTATGTGCATGCCAGCCAGCTGGTGTTTGGGTTTCCGGCACTCCGGCATGTGCACACACAAAAACGTTCAAGTTTGGGCACTCTGTGCCGAAAAGGTTTGCCATCACTGCCCTAACATATAAATCAGTGGTGGGTTTCACATTTTTTTACTACCGGTCCTGTGGGTGTGGCTTGGTGGGCATGGCAGGGGAAGGTTACTGCAAAATCCCCATTTCCTCCCAATCAGCTGGGACTCGGGAGGCAGAGAATAGATGGGGGTGGGGCCAGTCAGAATTTTTACTACCGGTTCTCCGAACTATTCAAAATTTCCGCTACCGGTTCTCCAGAACTGGTCAGAACCTGCTGAAATCCACCTCTGATATAAATTCATATAAATGTTAATCCCTGTCCATCTCGAATACATAGCGGGAAGAAGAAGTTGTGAGTTCACAAGGTTGATACTGCATGGAAGAAAACTGTGGCTGAATCTGGATGTTCTGCTTCGGATACCACGGAGCCTCTCCTCCTCGGAAGGTAGTAAAAAAAAACAGGTGGTGGGGAGGACATGTAGCGTCCCAGTTAATCCTGGGGTCATCGCTCATAGGCCTCGTCCTGGATAAGAAGGAAGAAATCTTTTCTGCCATCTTCACCACTCTGCACCGCCTTCCTGCCCGAAGCGATCTATACCAGGAGGAATTGAGGAATTCTTGGAGCTGAAGTCCACAAGTCTTAAAGTGGCCAAGGTTGGAGACCCCTGGTCTATAGTATTTCTGTTACTCTAACCCAGTGGTTCTCAGTCTCAGTGACTTTTAAGATCTGTGGACTTTTAATTCCCAAAAATTCCCAGCCACTTGCTTTGCTAATTCTGGAAATTTGACATCTCCAGGTTGCATAGGCAGTCCTCAACTTACGGTGGGTTGCTTAGCAACCAATCAGAATTCCACTGCACTTACCACCCAACATGTTACCCTCATGATCACGTAATCAAAATTCAGGTGCTTGATGTTTGACAGTGTTAAATGGGAGTTCATCTTGAACCAGCTAAATTACATGGAGTGTGGTGAGAATTTTATAAACACGTTTAAAGCAATTTATTCGAAACAGGAAGCCAAAATAGTAATTAATGGGGAAACAACTAAAAATTTCCAAATTCAAAAAGGCACAAGACAAGTTTGTCCACTATCGCCGCTATTGTTTATACTATCATTAGAAATTTTGACTAGAATAATTCAGGAAGACGACCAAATTAAAGGTTTAGAAATTAAGAAAGACATTTTTAAAGTACAGGCCTTCGCAGACGCCCTTGTGTTTATCATAGAAGATCCCCTACAGTCTGGTGTAAGGCTAATAGAAGTACTGGGAGAATCTGGGGAAGTAGCTGGATTGAAGATAAATAAGGAGAAAGCGATAATGCTAGTAAAAAAAAAATATATGACTAAATTGCAAGAAAAGGAATTGGCTGGGCAACTAAGCATTCAGACAACAAAAAAAGTGAGGTATTTAGGAATTCAAATGACAGCGAGCTGTATAACACTCAAAGGGGACAACTACGATAAGTTAATTGAAGAAATTAAATCTCCTTTATGGGAAGAATTGCAATCATAAAGATGAATGTTTTACCCAAAATACTCTTTTCTATTTCAATGCATACCAGTCAGATTAAAAAAGGAATTTTTTTTTTACAAATTTGAACAAAATTATATCGAAATTCATTTGGCAAGGTAGAAAACCGAGAATCAAACTAAAACTATTACAGGATGCTAAGGAAAGAGGAGGATTTGGCCTTCTAGACTGGGAAAAATATCATCAAGCAGCAACCATTATACGGGTGAGTGACTGGATACATCTAAAAAATAGGAAGTTGTTAACGCTGGAAGGTCATGGCACGCAGATAGGATGGCATGCTATCCTTTGGGAAGAGAAATACAAGGTTCACCGGTACTTCCAGAAGCACTGCTTCAGACGGGCACTTTTAGACGTGTGGGATAAAACTAAGCAATGTTTGTTTGTTTCTTTGTTTGTTTGTTTGTTTATTTATTTATTTATTTATTTATTATTAAATTTATAGACCGCCCTTCTCCCGAAGGACTCAGGACGGTGTACAGCCAAAGTAAAACACATGAATACAAACATTAAAAACAGTTTAAAGAGAAATATATAAATTTGGCCCCAAAGTTAAAAAACAATAACAAAACATATTAAAAACATTTAAAAAGCATTAAGCCAGCCCGGCTTGCTGAAAAAGGAAGGTCTTCAGGGCACGGCGGAAGGTACCGAGGTCTTGAATTCTTCGTATCTCTGAGGGCAGCTGATTCCAGAGGGCAGGTGCCCCCACAGAGAAGGCCCTCCCCCTGGGGGTCACCAGTCTACATTGCTTGGCTGATGGCACCCCGAGGAGGCCCTCTCTGTGGGAGCGCACGGGTCGATGGGAGGTCGTTGGTGGCAGCAGATGGTCTCGAAGGTATCCAGGTCCTATGCCATAGAGCGCTTTAAAGGTGATGACCAACACCTTGAAGCGCACCTGGAAGACCACCGGGAGCCAGTGCAGCTCGCGCAGGAGAGGGGTCACATGTGAGTGCCACGCCGCTCCCATAACCACCTGCGCGGCCGCATTCTGGACCAGTTGGAGCCTCCGGGTGCTCTTCAAGGGGAGCCCCATGTAGAGGGCGTTGCCGTAGTCCAGGAGAGAGATGACAAGGGCATGAGTGACTGTGCACAAGGAATCCCGATCTAGGAAGGGCCGCAACTGGCGGATCAGGCAAACCTGATAAAACGTCCCCCTGGCCACAGCTGTCAGATATTCCTCCAAGGACTGCTGCGTATCCAGGAGGATGCCCAAATTGCGCGCCCTCTCCGTGGGGACCAAGGACTCGCCTCCAATAGTCAGTGATGGAGTCAACTGACTATATCGGGATGCCGGGAACCACAGCCACTCAGTCTTGGATGGGTTGAGCCTGAGCCTGTTCCTCCCCATCCAGATCCGCACGGCCTCCAGGCACCGGGACATCACTTCATATCACTTTGAAGAAATATAGAAGTTCTGAATTGAATATCGACATTGGAGATGCTCACACCCCCAAATTTTATTAAGTCAGGAAGAGTAGTTACATAAAAAGA